AGTTATGGGTCCCAGTATGCATGCATGTTTCAGCCGGATTGAAGCGTAACTGCAGTTTGAGTTGAGGGCTTGACGGCTGAGGCTCCTCTATGCTCCTGGCAAGGTTTCAAGCATAGGGCGCTATTCTCTTTTGTTGGAATTTTGCGGAAAGCAGGAAAACAAGATGCTTCTCATTGATCCGAGGCTAGCCGACAGGTTGTTTGGGGGGATTGTTTTTTAGTCCTTTAACGAGACACTGCCAGAATTGTCGTGTGATTCCCCTAAGGCCTCGGTTCCTAAGGTATCCCTTTAACCCTAAACGCTAAACCCAGCAAGAGATTTGAGGCTTCGAGAGTTGCAGACTCTTGGAAGAAATCCTAATAACAGGAGTATATTTGTAATAGTATATGAATAATGTTAATAAAAGCAATAGTCGTGACGAGATAGTCATAGTAGTAGTAATTAAAGTGAGAATAGTAATGTCAATAAGGAATTAAAGAAATCGAAATTTTATTCGTAACAATGATCGTGATGACTGTAATCGATTGTAGCGGTTGTACAGCTTTCGTTCCGCCGTTTTGGTCCTGACATTGCTATAGGGTACAGCAGTTCCAATACACCTCTTACATGTGTTTGTAATTCCCAGGAGCACCCAAATAATCCATGTGTATCTCCCAACAAGCCTGCACAATACCTTAGGAGGACCCCCCACCCTGTAATAGTGGTATAGTAGGAGTATAAGAGGATCCCAATATAGTGCTTATTATCCCTTATAGTCACTATTACAGGGTGGGGGGTCCACCTAAACAGTACCCAAATCTCGCTGTAATGATTTTAGGCCCTTAGGTGTACCATAGGCAAAGCTTAGAGCCAACACCATGAAACGAACCTGAACACTGGATCTATGCCTGCAAACCTACAGAGGTCGTGATCGTCGAAGACGCAAGGATGACGGCAAAGGCCAGCTCGTGCGTTCACTTCCCTTCGTTTTCCCTGTTCGTTCGTTTTTGGGCTTAGGAATGTTGTTGTTTTTGCTCTCTAGTAGGGGGTTTGCCTTTTTGAGTGTTCGGGCCCAGGTTGTTTTGGGGCACTAGCTTTCCCACCCACAAACCCATTGCTTGGGAGTGCGCAGTTTGAGATTTTAAAGGTCTCCTTTCCTCCAGACCCCCAGTTGCTTGGGAGATTGTTAACGAGCCCAAAGTCCCAAAACGCGGAGTCCTGTTGTTTAGTTGGGCTTTGAGGTTCCTATCCAGAAGCCCTTGCTGGTTTGCGGAGTTGCTTGGGGTTACGCTGGACCTTTGTGTTGTCGGGAGCGCTGGGGAATGATTTTTTACTAAATGCCCAACAGTTGACATTCTAGCCGAGGTTTAGGGGTTTGGGGTTTAGGGTTCGTTGACATGGGATTCGCCATGTTGGTCCGGTGCGGATGATTATATAAGCTGTTATCAGTAATAAGTACCAAGGCAGCGTCAAGGGTGGATATGTTTTCTTTTGGTAGTTTCGTGTACTCCTTCAGACTCTAAGACCCCCTGTCCATTAATTATACGGGTAGTTTCCCAGTAGGGTCCATGCTGCAACTTAATCTACGAATCTACAACCCAGAGGGGCCCGTACTGTTGAGAACAACCCAAAACCCAAAACCGTAGCTCATGCCTTCCTTAGCTCAGAATCTTAAGCTTCAAACCCATGTCCGCTGGCTGTAGAAACAAGGCATGGCGGTGCCCCAAGCCCCAAACCTTGGTATTACCTAGAGTCTCACCTGCTAGTAGCTCACATGTATATGCATATATATATATATAGATATGTGTGTATATCTACATGGGTGTATGTATGCATAGATGCATGTATGGAGGTATGTAAATATGTATGTTGTTTTACATCAAAGTCATTTGGAAGAAGACATGGCCAGGTACATGCGGGGTATGTGTGTTTGTACGCACGTACATATTTGCCTACAAATGTATACGTACTGGGGTACATGCTTAATGTTGCGCCCTAAACAGTTTCCCTGAGCCCCTAAACCCTAAGTTCACATTGCCCACCTTTCTTGGACCTGTGACTCGAGGATCCTTTCGTTTGGTGCAGGGTTTTAGGGGTTCGGATTGGAGGCGTAGAGTTTACGGATCAGGGTTTAGGGATGATGGTTTAGGGCTTTGGATTTAGGGTTCCGGGTGCCGAGATCAAGGTTTTAGGATAGGGTTTTGGGTTAGGGCTTAGGGTTTCGAGTTTAGGGCTTGGGATTTAGGGTTTCGAGGACTTGGTGCCTCTTGCGCTACAGAGCAAAGTAGTTTGCTAGGTTCGGGATTTTCGATACAGGGCCCTGAACGATTCGTATTAGCAGTCGGGTGGTTTTGTGATAAGTACAGTGTTAACTGGGCTATAATGACCCATGGATCTCCCAGTAGCAACATGATTGAAGAATGAAACTTCGGAGCTATGGAAGTTTGCAAATTGCCAGGGGTCCCATGATTACATTGCGTAAGTAAGGCTATGCTAAAGCATAAGCATCTAATGTCTTATGACTCCCACAAATGCCTCACTGCAAGTGTGTCGCTAAACTCCCTAAGCCCAAAATCGTGTGGCAACCCTAACCTCCACGCTGCTAGATCACTGACGTTGACTTCCTAGGCCTCAAGCCAACCCTGTGCTCTAAAGCTTGAACTCCTAAACTACAGGTGAGGGTAAGCACCCTGGCCTCTGAAGCCTGCAATCCCCTCAGCCACGCTGTTTAGGATTGATTGGGTGCTTCGTGAAAAGCAGCTCTAGGCTAGGGGAGGAAGTCACCTGTGGGAGGGGATAGGATCACCACGAGTTTGCTGCATGAGCGCTAGAAACTCTTGCAAGCCAGAAACCCTTTGATCCGCAACGCTGTTTTCTACAAATCTGATGGGCTCTCTTCTACGGTTTTTTGGGCGAGGGAAGTGGTTTCCTGTAGTCTGGAAACCTTCAGCCAGATCCCGGAAGGATGCTGGTCGCTTTTGCTAATCGCCCCTCCCCCACCCCCCTAGTTCCAACACTAGGGAACATGTGAACTATAGTCTAAACTCCTTAAAGGGGGGATATATAGGGGATTACATAGGGGACTACTATAAGGGTTATTAAGGGGGATACTAGGAGTTTAGACAGTGGCTCATGTGGTTTTGGGGGATGGAGGGAGTGTGAAGCCTTCAACACAAACCCTAGACCCAAATCGTGTCCATGCTCCACGTACCACTTAGCCCCAAGCCGTAAACGCCCCAGCAGTGGAGGAAAAAGCCGGCCGGATGGCGTACCGGGAGGCCTGGGTGTCTGTTGGATGTATAAGCTATAGTCTAAACTCCTTAAAGAGGAGGTATATAGGGGACTACATAGGGGAGAGTTATAGGGGTTATTAAGGGGGATGCTGGGAGTTTAGACTGTAGCTCATGTTGGCTTCAGGGTTTAGGGCCCAAGGTTTAGGTTTTCAGTTTGTATTTTCTAGAGCGAGAATTAGAACTCTACACGGAATGCAGAATACACAGCTGGTTAAGCTCAGTTTGTCTTACAGAGGCTAGGATTGGATAGGAGCTAGGAAAAGGCCCGCAGGAGGAGTCAAGGTCTCAGGTTAGATTTTACTGGAGCTTCTAAGTATGATGCGTGTGGGTTCCCAGGATAAAGGTTTCGGTTTCTTGGAAACCTTTTGGGGACCTCTATTCAGAAATGCGTGATAGAGTGCAACTGGTATCAAGCCCTTACGCACACGTCCCTTCGTCTCGCCATTCTTTGTCGGCCTCGGGGCTCTTTCGCCAGACTGGGGTGCAATTCTGAGCGGGCCTTCCGGAACTATATTGTTCTAAGTGTGGCTACACAATGAACAGTCATGAAATCTAAGTCCCTTTGCAGTTCAACGCCCTGGGCGTCCCCAAACCTAAAGATCTTGATTAGGCTTAGACCTGACCCAAACTATTATATGTATATATGAACAAGTGTTACGTGGGATTGTAGAGGTTGTAGGTTTACTATACTATGGATAAATCTGGGAACAACAGGGTTTCCTTACAATTGTAACCTATAGCTTCTTCAGTAGCCAGCCAAGTCGAGCCTGGGTCTTTGTTCAACATGGATTTCTCACCTAACTCAAAGTGGATCCCTGGATTGATGGACTAAGAATGCCCATAGGGACTTGTTACTGGAGATGAAGGCTGATTACGTTTTTGTTGGTCCTTGCAATCTGGCGGACCTTTTTGGGGATCCCAAGTGGGATCCTTACATTGCAGCCTGGGGTTATGGTTGAACATAATTTCGATTTTCTTTACCTCACTGAAAATCAACAAGGAACATATAGACATGATTCTACAAAGCATCCCGATGTGGAACCGGCAGCTTCATTGGAACAGAAACTCATAGGACTAGAAGGTAAGCCGAAAGGCTAATAAAGAATAGCAAAATACCTGGCTTTACAGGCCTTGAAGCCTCAGTGTTGTCAGTGTTGCTCGAGAAGGCACCTGCCATTTAAGCAAACCAGTGCCGATACTCGGTTCAAAAAACCATGTCCCTTAATCCTCAACCCTAAGGCCCAAATTGGCCGTGCACTTGTGCATTTCCCGGATTCATCCGCTGGAGAAAAGGTCCAACAAAAAAACCTAAATCGACTGTAGTTCATCCTCTCACCTGAGAGTTGCTCGAAATACTCAGGAGACAGGCTTTAGTAGGGTCTCCTGCGACACCCTGCAAACCCCTGTATATCTCAAGGGTCCCTACATAGCCAGATTCTGGGAAACCCGTATAAGAAAGGGTAGAGGGTTTAGGGTCTAGGCGGAGCTACATGCTGAATTACACGTTGAAACCTTATACGAACCACCTT